GAGGAAACTTTAGGACTGCAGATCAGGCATTAGTCAAGAGCAAACTTTGCATGTTGGCCTTTCAGTAGTTTATTATACTTCTGCTCGAAATGTGTAATTTTCTCTTAACCTCCAGCTAGTACTACATATTAGCACAAACATTATAGTGGCTATAAGCTAAGTATTATAACTAGTGCATTACCTTTTCAACAGTCATATATTTTCAACCTTTAAAGAACAGTTAGCTTTCAAGGTACAGCTAGAATGTCTGATGCTAAACAAAAACTATCCTGCCTCGAACAGCTTTTCAGAGTGCAAGAGAAGGGTCTTTCAGTCTTGGGCATAGTAAATGCATTACGGGCCCATTCCTACATTCAGACATCAGAAAAGAGCTTTTAAACCTCCTCGTGCTCTTCAGCAGACATGGTTTGGTGGTGGCTTTTCTTACCATGATTACTATAGGAAGCATTTTCAGGTCTGTTTCTCCTATATGCTTTCATGCAAGCATCTACCTGTTCTGTTTCCACAAGAGGAAGAGAGGATGCAGAACTCCTGCAGATGATACCTGAGGAGCCTGGCTCACCTGCTGCCAAGGCCATTACTCACTTCTTGTTTGCTGTCTGAAAGTGAACAGTCATTCTGGAATAATCCTTCTGCTTTTCTCTGGTGGCAGATGTAACAGTGAGGTCTCCAAAGAGGTCAACCAGCCAAGTCAGTCGGGCAATTCCACTGAAAGCTGGGAATCCTGTTTTGTTTTCATCGAGGACGCTACCTGGTGCAACAGCAACAGAAAGTCTTGAGAATTGGGAAAAGAGAATAATGCCTTCTGCATAGAAAAGGCAGAAGAAACTGCAGTGTTGCAGGCTTAGAGATCAGGGTGTAGAAAGGCCACGAGCGGATGGATGAACTGAGTAGGAAAGTCAACAAACATGGTCAACCTTGAAATTGATCAGTTAGTGAGCTATGACAGAGAAGGCTGCACAAAGTACATATACAACAAACCCTTTAGGACATGTTGAGGACAGGAGGATTCAACAAGGGAATAAAGTAAGGAGAAAACAATGGCTTGAAAATCTCTCCCAGCTCTTCTGGGGACAAACACCAGTACGGAAGACTAAAGGTCCCCACCAGATATTGGGACACTCCCTCAGAGCTCATCATCCTCTCTGAGACCAAGTTGAATGAGAAATTGGTCACTACCACCAAAGTACAGAAGGGATGAAGAAGTGCGCTCTCCTCCATACAACAAGGCACGGGCTTGCATTCTTACCAGATAGCAGAAAGAGATGAGCAAAGCAACAGCCCATAGAAGATAACTGTTAAGGCAAAGGTGCTTTCCAGACAGTTCTGTAATTTCATGGAAATATCCAGAACTGATACCTGTGTCTCTAGTGAGTTTATAGACAGACTCTCATCTAAAAGGACTGAATGAAGCCTGGAAGGACTGGCTTCCCTGTGGAACAGGCAGACAAATCCAGATGGACTTCGATTTCCCCACAGCTACTGACCTGTGAAATGCAGTGTTCCCTTCACCAGGTCTTTCCCAGCCACCTCTTTTTTTAGCTGCTTGTACTCTTCAGTGAGAAGCTCAATGTGTTCCACATGGAGTACTTTATCTGCCATCAAGGAAAAAACAAAACAAAACAAAAAAAACCCACACACCAAAAATCAGGACAGATTAAATAAGAGCTTTCTGTGTGAATCAAAGGCGCATCTAAGCAATAAAGGCTTCACCATCCACCAGTGGGACCTCACTTAGAAATGTTCTCACACATGGCTGACAAAATGATGTCAGGAAGAAAACCAAACATGGGCCCTGCACCGAGGCATCAATCTGGGTTAAGGATTTTCAGGAGACAATAATAATAACAACAATAAACATAGAGACTACAGGAACAGTAACCACTATGTTTAACAGAAACTCTGTAATGAAACCCAATACCCAACTAAGGCTGGAACATGAGTCTTCAGAGTAAAAGACAGATTAATTCTTGGCCTCTTTCCCCTCACATTTCCTTGTTCTGCATTCTTCCTCCCAGGGTAGTAGGAAAGAAAAAGTAGGGGGGAAAAATAGCATAATACTCAGACCCAGGTTGTAACAATATGTTAAGGAGTACCTCCCTCCATTGCAATTAATTGGGCTACTTTGGAATAGAGGCCATCCAATACACATTGAATGTGGCCCTCATTCAATACGCATTTTTCTGGAAGGTTTCCAGGAGGGTCAATTTAGGCTGCTGACAGTAACTGCTGCTGCTTCAAGAGAAGAGGCATAAATTCTGCTCAATGGCAAGCCATCTGGTGAGCAACAAGGCAGTAAGTGGTGTTGGTACAGGGAAACAGCAAAGCAGAAATCCTATACCTCCGGTGTTTTAGGACAAAAGTCACGAAGGAAATTTTTAAGAAGCAGTGGTATAAATAGTGCAGCTTGTCCAAATGGTTTGCACTCTGCTCCTGCCCAGCACTGTTCTGTTCCTTGCAGCCCCATACATCCCCACTGGCCTCAACTGAACTGCCACCTTCTGACCCTTGGCACCACAGGGATGGCACCACATGCTTTCCAGAAATAAAGACATTGCTTAGAGACAAGCCGTCTTTCAGACAGGGATGCCTTGCTGGTCTACAATATCATTAGCAGCTGTGTGTGACCAGCACATCACAAACACTAGAAGCTAGGAGGGCTGTTTCCAGTTTTATTTTCTGGGAAAGAGAGGATGGGGAAGTGCACAAGTCCAATGGCTATGCTCATTAAGTGCTTTACTATCACTGCAACAGAAGTGTCCTTGTCTAACTGCATTCTTAGTGTCACAAGCAGAGACCAGTGCTTTTGTGAGGGCAAATGTACCTTACCCTTAGCCTTGACATTTGTGACATTTCCCCACTGACACACACCTTAAATCCTAGATTGACACATCTCTGAGACAGGCATACTCCCTTGTATGTCATGATTAATACTAGACTGGAGCCCTGCCTTTGAGTTTGATGCCTTTGGTGCTACCAAACAGGTAATATTGTTTACACCCTTGAGAACAAATGCCATTACCTTTCTGTTCAGCCATCTCCCAGAGCTCATGGGCCGCCTTGGCAGACAAAGCCATGGGGTACTCAACAAGAACATGTTTCCCAGCTTCCAAAAACATTCTGAAAGGCATACAAGATCAGTCTTTAAAAAATATATCATTGTAATCATCTCTCTCCACAGTGCAAGCTGCTTCTCATTCCCACAGTCAGCCCTTATGGAGAAATGCACAACGCAGAGTAACAGAAATAAATGGCAAGTTTCCTAGCAAGGATGGTGTGGTGGCTACATCACACATTTAAACACCAGAAGAGCTGGGTTTTAATTCTCCTTTTTCCACAAAATTCCCTCATTCACCTACAGCAAGTCACTAAAATGCTGCAGCATTAAGCACTGCAGTTTCTAACTTCCAGACACTTGAGTGGCTGGAGTGTGGCAGTGGAGCGGGGCACTGGAGTGCCCTTCCTCTATATAATCTGTGAGGAAAGGCTTTGAATCCTATTTTAAGCTGCCTGTCCATCAAACACAGGCTTAGAGGTACGCAACTGGAATTACTTGGGAAATTAATGCATCTTAAATCCTAGTCTCTTCCAGGGCTTATTGGGTACTCCAGGGAACTCGCTATCATTCACTTCAGGCTTCTAGTCTGGCAGTCTCTCCCAGTGTCCACATACTCTCCTGCAACAGCTTTACACATCTCCTCTATGCTTCTAAATAACAGGGGAAAGGGTGGGAAAAGGGAAAAAAAAAAAATCTCAAAATACCTGATGGTTTCTTCATGGCTTCTGTTCTCTGTGCTGATGAAGGCTGCATGGATCTCTTCACTTCTTAGAGCATCTTCCAGGCTAATCTGCTTGGCCTCATTAATATTGCCAAAACTTCTCCTGCGTATTTAGCATAAATACAATCAGAGCATAACCATCACAGCCCATTCTTCAAAACTGCATGCTGTGCAGCAGCACTTAGAAATTGTTCCCATGGACCACTGTCTCAGTGAGTTCAACCAGTGTAGAACAAAGGCAGCTTGTAATCTAGGAAGGGCATAGGCACTAACAGACAGAAGTGGAGCGGAGCGCACAAAAGAAGAAAACAGTTGTGTCAGTGTATTAGGTGGTGGTATCAGTACAGAAACTGTCCTGCTGTGTAAAGTGCTTTTTGGAGGTTTGTTTGTTTGTTTTGGTGTTTTGTTTTGGTTTTTAATATGCATCATTAAGAAAGAGCCATTTTAAAAGAGTGACTTGAAAGAGGACGTTGCTCCTATGGGAGAACTCCCCACCATGCTGGACAACATGGGCAAAAGCATTTGAGTTGGCAGGGCCACATGCAACTACACCAAGAACAGACAAGCAGGAGAGGGACAAAGCAGATGCTTGGCTACGATGGCTCATATCTTGAAACACACACACCATGTCAGTGCCAAGGGGAAGGCTCTTTTGGCCACCACCCTGAGCACATTTCCACCTGAAAATGAAACACACACACTCCCCCCAAAAGCCCTTTGCATTAGTAAAGACTGGAGCAGACACCTTGACAGTGTTAGGATAGGTGACAGACTGCATGAGGGTAGGCCACAAGCGTGACTTGAAAGCAGACAGGTAATGTCTGTATGTGATTGGAATGCAAAGAGCAAGGCAACATATCCAAGCAAGCTGCCAGTGAACCATGCATTTTGACAGCACTGTTTCTCAACATAAGTAGTGGAAACCCAATCTTCAGTGTTGTTCAAGGCTAGCTGTAGCACTAGCAACGGCATCAGGGAACCAAGAGTGTATTTGGCAGTGAGATAAACTGGATGACCTAATAGGTCCTTTCAGTCTCAAACCACCCTGACTGCATGATTTAAATATAGCTGGAAAAATACATTCACAGTCTGAGATCCTTACATGTACTGCCTAACTATTTAAAACCTTTATGCTCTGCTGTTATGGGGCAGACGGTCTAGCAGGAAT